ATGAAGCATAATCTCTCCCTCAAGCTCCATCTTTGTCCGGTGACAGAAAACAATCTAGTCACTTTCAGACTAGCTCCCACCCCTTTCTGCTCCTTCCCTTAGGGTGGCATCTAAGTTTCTGGGTGTTAGTGAGGCGGCTTCTGGTTCTTGGCTCATGTTTGACAATGCTGTCCCCTCTGGTCCTTGAGCAGGAGTCCCGAGCCACCTGATTCCAAGCTATTCCAAGCTGTCATCCGGGTGCTGCGCCCGGTTTGCTAAAATAGCTGTCACTCTATTGGGCTTCTGGGGTTCCCACCACTTTCCACTGAGGCACCCACAGGCCATCCCTGGACCACTTTCTTCCCAATCATATTTCTTCCAGCGGCCTGACCCCATGAATGTTGGACTCTTGTCTCAAGCCACTCTGAATCTGAGGTCCTCTGTTCCCAGCACTCGTCAAATCTGCACCTTTCTGCAGCCGTAGCGTTTTTGTGCAAGGCATTTCTGCATTGCTACTGTATTGTAGGTCCCAGATAGGACATGGATACAAATCTCTTCTTCTAGACACTCTCTTCTGTCACCTCCACCCAAGTCCCAGACTCAGCCCAGGACATAAGGAGCAGGTCCTGTTGAAGGGGTAGGGTCTGATGAAGTCTCTCTTCCCTTAGCTATGTGCCTCCCCGTCCAAGAGAACGTCCAGCCAGTGAGGATGAGCAAGGCTGGCAGCTTCCTTGTTGCCTCTCTGTTCTTTGTTGTAGATGAGGCTTTCTGCCTTGATTCTTTTGAAATCAAAAGGAGTCTTTTGAAATCAAAAGGAGTCTTTTCTATCAAAAAAAAAAAAAGCTAGACTCTGGCAAAGTCTTGTCTTCCAAGACTCTTGTCTTCACGTTGAGTTTGAAGACCCTATTTTAAAAATTCAAGTCAAAACCTTGATTTTTATTTTCCGCATTTGCTCCCTGAAACCCTTCTAGAAGCAATGGTCACCCTTGACTGCACAAGGCAGAGACACAGGCACCGGTCTGAAGCGGGGACGACCTCAGTTAAGGTGTCTACATCCTGTGTGGCAAGTTCAAGGGTAGGCATCATGGGGTTATATGACTAATGGAAAATGGTAGGCAAACTAAATGTTCTTGACTAGATGAACTATTTTTAAAAATTCTGTTTCTTTATACCTCTTTAAGGTAAATTGGACTCCAGTAAAACTGACTTCAAAAATAACTGTTTCTCTGTTGCATTCCCATAGCCACACACACAAAATCTTTTATTTTTTTTACATTTGATGTGTGCTTTTAGTTGTAAGATTTGTATTTTAATTCCATGGCCTGTGGAATATTACACACCCATTAAAAGTTTGAGGCTGAGCTATAGCTGTGTAGTGAAATGGAAAGTTATCTGTGATATGTTGTTAACTTTAAAAGTAAGTACAGGAATATATTTGTATAATATAACTCTAGGGTTTTTTAAAAAGACTTGGTATATCTTTGTATCTACCATGTGCATACATGTGCGTGTAGACACACAGAATTTGGAGAACACACCACCACCACAGTAACCATTTTGCATGTTTGGGTGAAGACAAGACAGGAAGCATTTAGGTGAGCTGGTCATTTTCACATTTGCTTTTACATTTCTGAAGTGTTGAATCTTTCTCAACCAGCAAGCACAACTTTTTTTGGTAAGAGGCGAACCTACTGGGAGACAAAAGCACAGAGGGAGCGTGTGGCCTCCACCAGGGAAAGGAACGAGGTCTTGACCTGGATCGATGCTTCTGCGGTCCTGTTTGTGTTCTGCGGGGGGTGTCTGCAGCGCCGCTCAGCCCCCCTGGCGGGACTCGTGGCGAGGGCAGGAGGCACAGAGCCAGACAGACCTGCGAGCAAAGCCCCATCCATGGCTTGTTAGGTTTTTCGTCTTTTCGAGTCGTTGTTTGTTCTTTGCTAAGACTTACCTCTCAAACTTAGGGGTCAATGAGATGAGCTCTGTGATATGCACGGTGTAGAGTGTGCGCAGTGAGTGGCAGGAGGAAGGCGAAGTCAGAGGAAGAATGATTGTTAACCATGGGGAATGGGGACCATGGTCACCCCCACAGGGTGGTCCCCGACATTTTAAATATCACCACTGGTGCCTTATTGCCTTTTCTCTCCTTTCCTCAAGTGGACAGCCCACATCAATGCTGGCCGAGCACCTGGCAAAAGAAGCGACCTGGAGAGAGCTGCACACCCTGTCTTCGAAGGAGTATGCTCCAAGTGGCGTGTACCCGTGTGTGTTGTCGAGGAAAGGGGGGCATCAAATACGCAGAAGGCACATGCTGTCTATTTTCTCGGGTCAGTGTGATAATGGGTTTGCAGGTCCCCACCACAGGTAAGACAGGAGTGGGGAAAGAGGCAGAACACTTCATTTGGGAAGAGTGGAGTTCAGGGTGAGAGATCAGAAAAGAAAGTAACTTGAGAATCAGATGGCAGAAAAATCATGCGGTAAGCCTGGGTGGAGGGCAACGTGGGGAAGAGAGGGAGTGGGGAAGAAGGCACGCTCAGGTGCTGACACTTGTCTGCGCTTGGAGATCGAATGTGCGCCCTGCTGGGGATTGGGGTCTCGGGCAGGGGGTGTATGGAGGCAGAGCTGGGAGGCAGAGGGAATCTAAACCACACATACCCCCACCTGCCCTGACCTCTCACCCTGAAGCCTCAGGAAAAGGAAAATCAATGGGCTCCCCAAGTGCCCCGGGGTCTGTGGCTGGAATTTGACCCATGCGGAGTGTTTGCTGATCCAGAGCCGGATATGTCCAAATGAGCTCATCTTTACCTTGAGAGGAAATTATGGAGCCCGGACCAAGACAAAGCCATGTTTTATTCAATGAAAATTCACCCCCACACAGTGCACAAAACATCCCATAAACATCCACCTGAGCAACCTCCTCTCCAAAGGTCAATTCTGAAAGATCAACAAATAGGAAATTATGACCTTGCAGAACACCAAAAGGGTTATTCCAGAATATCTTACATTACCTCTCCGGCTGATCTGTAGACTCTTCCCCCACCTCTACCCCACCCCCACTTTGCAAATATTGACTAAGGTCAAGGGCAGTGGTAGAAGGTCTAACTTCAGAGTTAGCATGAGGTAAAATACTTAAGATGGTGCAATCCTGTCCTAATGAAGAACATATTTGATCCCAAGGTTGGTTATGGTCAGTTCTTGTCCCTTGACCCAGCTGATATTTGTTTTATCAAGTCAGGGACTATTTTTGTCATCATTGTTAATCTCCCTCTTGCCAGATCTGTTTTGGCCGAGGGCATGCACTTGAGGTATGCTAGAAGAATGGAGTGCACTATTGTGGGAAAGAATTATCACTAATTCTGCCTGCCTACAGCTTCCTCGGCCCTGTTCATCTGCTCTGGACACACGAAGCAAAATCGTAGCTGGGAAGTCCACGACCGGCTTCCAAGGAGCGGATTTAGGAGCTGAAAGAGCAAGACAGCAACGTTCTTGTAATGGCAGTAGGTCTTTATTCTGTTGGAAAGAATTTTGATTTACCCAACAGGAGACAGCTTGACAGAATATTTTGCTAGTAGAGAAACCCACTGCTGAGTGGAGAGGTCAAACTCATTTAGATTCAGCTTTGACCTCAATATTATACAAATCCTGTCTCGAGGATTTCTGGCGACCTGGCTCAAAAGCTCTGGAACACAGAATGAACTGGCACTTCTGACCCATGGATTTTGGAGTTAAATGGACCCGGGTTCAAATCTTAATTTCTCTGAGCCTCAGTTTCTTCCTGTGTGAAAACAGTCATAACAATACTCTTGCCAGGTTGCCCTGGGGGTTCAATGTGGTATTGTATCTGAAAGCATTTAACACAGTGCCTGTCGCTTAAGATGGGATTAATATGTTTTAGTCTCCTTCCTTCCGCTCAGCTCCTCCAGCTGCTGGTATATCCCCTTTCTCTGCTTCGTACATCTGACATCGTGGAACCAGGCCAGTGACACTTGAGGGGACACCACTGGCATGAGAGTGACTAGAGAAAAGAAAAGGTTAAACCATGTTCAGAACATCAATATTCGTTTTTAAGTGATTGGAATGTTAATTGAGTGAACTCCACTGACATTGGAAAAAAATGCAAATATATACATAAAGTTGTGGTTGTGCGACCACTTCCTAAATCTGGATACAGCCAACCAAGGTCTCCACGTGGGGAAATTTTTTATCTAAACACCATAGAGCCCATCACAGTCTTCTTGGGATATTAATGCTGTGTCTCGGTTACCCAGGGAGCTGATGACCCCCCTGAGCAGTTTGCTCCAAGGACAGGTGGTAGTCTTTCAGACTCACAGCAGCCTCAGCTGCAATGTTCTACCCAGAGGTCCATAGACTACCTCTTGTTTGAAAGTACTGTATCTCAAAACTCGAGTGGATATGTAGCCCTCAGCCACTTCTCCTCTTGGCATCATGGGAAAGGCTGGAGCCCTTTAAATTCCATCCCCTTGTGGGCATCCTGGTTCTCCCAGGTCTCTCATAACAAACTTGTTTCCTAACCTCTAGCCAAAATGGCTATTTGCAAAGTAGGTAGTCGAGTGTGTATTTTGTATAAGCCAGTATTCGAAGATTCACATGGAAAGAATTACTTCCATATGCAAGATTGTCAATTCTCTAATGCATCCATCTTGGGCAGAGGGAAGATTAATGTGAACAACAGAGCACTGAAAGTGTATTTAGGTTTGACTTTGGAGTGATAACACCTCAGCCTTGAGAGGAAGTCACGCAGTAACTCCTGAACTTGGTCTCCATTTCTTCCCTCTTGATGCTTCCCAATGTCATCGGAGCTGGACTGGAGGGAAGAATGAAGCAGAATAATGAGAATACTCAATATATATTTGGAAAGCTAACTTATATTTTCATTTATTTTTTTCTATATGTTAGCAATGAACAACTAGAACATACAATGGAAACAAAGTAACAATCAAACCTATAAATGATTAGACATAAAGCTGTAAAGCTGCGTTGTAAAGACAGAAAGATCTAAAGAAATAAATAGTGAAGGAAAACAATAACAATAATAATGATAATAATAGCAACAAACATTTGTTATGTTGTCATAATGTGTGGGGAATAATCTAGATGATTTCTTTAATTTCAGAAATCTTGTGAGTTATTAATAAAACACTCATCTTCATTTTTGAAGAAAGGGAAACTGGGCATATAAAGGAAACACAACTTTTTAATGGGAGGATCCAAATGGTAAATCATTTAATTGCTTAATTTGCTCAATAACTATACTCTGCAAATTAATGCAATCAATTTATAAAGCAATGCAATTCCAATCGAGTTTAAAGGATTGTTTACGAAACTTACTGAGCAATTTAAAGTTCACCTAGAAGAGAAAATGCTAACAAATAAGAAGCCAAGAAAGTACTGAATAATTAAAAAGAATCAATTTTTTAAAATTATTAAAATTATAATAAAGCTCACAAAGGGAGTGAGATACACTCAAGGACTTACAACAAAGCTCAGCGCATTGGAGTACACAATAAATATTTGGAGAATTAATGTCTATTTCTATCTATTTTTTCTGTGACTTGCCCCACTAGCCTTTGGTGTTATAAACAGGAAGCACTGAGAACAGAAGCATAATTAGCTAGCCACCCAAGGCCCATCATCAACCTTCCTGGATCCCATAAGCCTTGGGGTTCTTGACCAACCCCAAGGGAGAGAGAGAGTCCCTTCGGATAACCAAGATTCGATGTCTAGCCAGTTCTGGTAAATACAGGCAGGTGCACTTTACAAACGGAAATGTTCAGTTGCTTTTAGTGCTTGATTCAGAATGTTCAGAACCAATTTGTAATTTCAAAAAACCATGATATGATGGCAGCTCAGTAACTCCACCTGAACGTACACAGTTGCTTATTTAACACAGCTGCACTGAGCTCCCCTTAAGTGTCTGGCACCCTTAAGTCTGGGGGGAAATCATAAGACCCAGTCTCCCCTCATGGAGCTCTCAGTCTAAAGAGGAGAAACACACCAGAAGGAGCACTTGGGCCCTTTGTGCCAGCCAGCTGCTCTCCTACATAAAATTGCAGGCTTCCTGCCCTGGCCTGTGTGGCACAGTTGGTTGGAGTATCGTCCTATAAAACGAAAAGTCACAGGTTCGATTCCCAGTCAGGGCACATGCCTGGGTTGCAGGTTCAGTGTGAGGTCAGAGTGTATATGGAAGACAACCATTGCTGTTTCTCACATTGATGCTTCTCTCCTTCTCTCTCTTCCTCCCTTCCCCTCTCTCCAAGCATGTATATCCTGAAGTAAGGATTAAAATTATTATTATTATTATTATCATTATTAAATTGTGAGCGTTCTGCTGGTTGTTGCTCCAGAGTGACCCTGCAGAAAGGGTGGCCTTCTCAATTCAGAACTGAAAGCCAGGCAGCCTGGAGGCCTTGAAGTTAGAGTTTTGCCTGAACTGTGTGCGACGACCCCAACGCGGCCTGTGATGAGCTGCTGTCTGGGAATTCGCAGCTTCTCAGACAGCTGCTGACAGTCGTCTGAGAAGTCACTTCCCTCTGGGGGCACAGCTGCGCTAAGCTTCCAGGCACTCTTTTCTTTTATGCCTTCAGTCATCATTTGCTCTAGGTTTTGTGGAAACAGTGATGAGTAAAACCCCGGTGGAAGCTACACTCCAGCAGAAGAGACCATTAAGCCCCATGTCAGGGAAAGCAGAGAGCGTTTGAAAGCATGAAAGACGCTCTGGAACAGGAGTGCCTAGGAGAGGACGTTTCCAGGATGGCGCGAGAGGGAGGACTTCCTGTCTCACTGGAGAAGGAAAAACCACCAAGCTATTTTCTGTGCTTCACCAGACAGATTAAAGGAGATTTATATCTGAGGAGAGAAGGAAGGAGGTGCACACGTGACTGCTCTGCTCCATCCCAGACTGGGACGTCTTTCCCAAAGACTGTCTTCTTCTACGTGAATGGTCTCTTCATTCATCCATCCATCGGCCCAAATCGAGAAGCTGTAAGTCATTCTTTCTTAATTTCCAATATAATCAATCATAATTTGGCTATCAATTCACATTCCTTAGGTCATTCGAATTCATTAACTTTTCTCCAGACACAGTATTTAGTTCAGCTCTCATCTCAGGTTCTGCAATGGCAAGAAGGAAGCAGTATCATGATTGGGCTTCCTGCCTCCAGCATTTTCACCCCAACATTTATTCATTCTCCCGTCCTGTATCCTGAGGGATTTTTCTAAAACATTCATCTCCCCCCTGTTCAAAACACAGAGTTTTACCGTGACTCACAGTAAAGCCCAGATCCCTTGATGTGGCTCTTACTACCCCTATGATCTGGGGCTTCCTACATGACCGCATACTCGGCACTATACGTACTGTTAAAAAAGTATCTTAAGTTGTTATCATTGGCTTCTCCCCTTCCACCAACCGTGGGCTGTGGGAGAACATGCTCTATATTGGGGAGGTGGGTTTTTTTTAATCCAATTAACTTTTCCCTGCATTCCAAACCTGTTACCTACACTTTGTTCTCCTTATAAAAATGGCCATTTAAAAATGGAGTTTAATATGGTCTGTGAGGGTATGAACCTGCCATCTTCTCAGACCACCAGCCATCTGAATAAAGTGCCCATAAAGATTCAGTCGCTGTCATTGCTTATTGGGTTTGGTAGTGACAGGCAGCCTGAACGCTGGTGTCTTTTCTGCTTTCATGTTCACGTGCTGTTGACATGGTGATCACCTGCCACCCATGCCCTGTTCACGTGCGGCCCAGGCTCTGTTCATGTGCTGCTCGTGCTCTGATCACGTGCCGCCCACATGCTGATCACAAGCTGCACATGCTCTGATCACATGCGGCGCATGCCCTGATGGCATGCTGTGCATGCTCTGACCATGTGCCACCCATGCCCCATTCACATGCTTTTCACATGCTGATCATGGGTGTCCATGACTTATTCATGTGTCAGTCCTGCACCGTTTGTGTGTTGTTTGATAGGGGACTGAATTGGAAAATTTTAGTTTAGGTAATAGCTAATAAGCTTAGTCATCAAAGCACGTAAAAGCTTTGCTCCACGAACTGAGTGTGTGACCCGCTCTGATTCCAGGAGACCGCAAGCAATTCCATCTGTGTGCCTCAGGAGGACTGCAAGCAGTTCAATGTGGTATCTGAGCCGTTGTCCTCTGGGGCAAGATGACCAGTGCCCATAAAGATTCAATTGCTGTCATTGCTCATTGGGTTTGATAGTGACAGGCAGCCTGGACTCCAGTATCTTTTCCAGTTTCATATTTTGGCGACTGCGCTGGGACCGACTTTGGGACTCTCGGGTAAGTCTGGGTATGTGGCAAGGAGTCCCATCGGCTGCCTGGGCTGAGAGGCCCCGGGGGTTTGGATTCGGAGAATCCCAAGCAGCTGCCAGGTGACTTCACTCGGGGATTCTCCCCCTTACTCTGGCGCTTCTTGTCATTTAACACGTTTGATTGAATCGTTGTACTTTCTGGTTCAGGTTAAAATCCAGGGTCACATCTTAGGTCATTTGGTAAAGGTATCTTTCTGGGTTATAGAGCTTCATCTGAAAAAATGTGTCCAATCTGGTTTGGTTTGGGTGCCCTCTGTTTGGACCTCCACCTGGTAGAACGTGGGGGAAGCCTCCATTTCGGGAAACAGCGCTTTCGGGCCAGTTCTGGCTGATTTGTCGACTTACGAGCATATATCTAGAGCGTATGTGGCTTTATTGCAGTACTGTTCTGTTTGTGTCCTGTATAATTTAGACTCAGGAGAGCTCTGGTCACTGAATGGGTCTTTAAATTACTGTATTATATTGTAACTAGAATTGTTTTGTCAAAAATCAGGGAAGCGGCACAAAATGCCTTACCTAGAAGTTTTTTTGAGTTTACATGATAAAGATGCATGCAGAGTTAAACAAAACAAAACAAAACAGAAAATAAGTTAATGGCTCAGAGAAAAGGGAATTTGCATGTGAAAGATAGAAGCTCAGAGGAGAGGAGCGAGGAAGATCCAGATATTATGACCGCTGCAGGCTGGCTGGTCAGAGTTCCCGCAGCCCCAGGGGATCCACTGCTATGAGTGAAAGGGGGAGAGTGCGCCTGAACTGGCATCCCTGTCTTGAATCAGTCAAGGAACCAGATTCAGTGGAGGAAAAGCCCTTACCAGAGCAGGGCAGTATCTTTTTTGGAGACTTTCAGTGGGAGTAAGGCCAGAGGGCCAGCCTGCTGGATATTATCGGGCACATACTCTGTTTACTACATTGGATCTGTGAAACTGGAAAAGCTCAGACCCTTCTTATGGGCCTGATCCTGCTAAAATGACTGATTTGGTTGCATCAGTTTTTGCCATTCATCATCTCAATTGGGCAGGCTTACAAGTCTTATTGAATTCTTTGCTTCAACAAGGGGGATGAGCAGAGGCTGGTGTTGGATAAGGCAAATGAAGAGGCTCGGAAGTTGCACCAAGAAAATCCAGATGGGGCTCTGGGCCTTCCCAGGGCAATACCTGTAACTGAGCCCAACCAGGACCCTAATGGGGATGGCCTTTCTCTCTTAGAGCATTATAAGGGATGCCTCCTTGAGGGACTGGGGAAAGGCATCCCTGAGCAGAAAAGTCTGAGCATGGTGCAGGCTGTGCAACAAAAGTCCACAGAGGACCCCTTCCTACACCAGGAAACAGTTAAGGAGATTCCTGGGGATGGCAAATGACTGCTGCATTTTAATTCCAAACTTTGGGTTCACTGCTAATCCACTGTGTGAGGCTCTGAAGGGAATAAATAAAAATAAAGGATCCCAAAGGAAGAACCTGTTGAAAATATGCCCAGATGGAAGACTCATGTGACTAGGAAGTGCTGTTTGTGGTCACATGCTGGAACCCAAAGCCAGTGATAACGTCTGCGGAGACGAGCTGATGAATCGGAAATACAAGTCCCCAAAGCAGGCCCACCTCCTCTCTGTAGCTTTTCTGACTTATCTCTAGCAGAAATAATTCCTCCTTCCTTAGTACTTCCTATATATTTATATTCAGCTGCTTTTAAAAAAAATTTTATAATTGTCTACAGAATATATCCAAAATTTCTAGCTTGGCAGAGAGGACTTCAACCAAATGAGTTTCCAAAGAAGCTGAGCTGAGACGGCAGAGACACAGGCTTTGGGGCTTCATCAGCTGTGGCTTCAACTCCTGATCTGCTACTTAATGCTGTGAGGTCTCCTGCTGGTGACCTGACCTCTTGGCCTCAGTTTCTTCATTCTCAGACTCCTTCCTTGTAAGATTAAAGACAAAACAATGTGAGACATGTCAGGTGCCTCACATGCCACCTGGCACATATTAAAGATGTAAGACACGCCTGTTCTCAGCACATGAACAGGGCATGGGCAGCATGTGATCAGGGCATGCACAGCTTGTGATCAAGGCATGCACAGCTCATGATCAGCACGTGATCAGGGCACGGGCCCCACATGATCAGCAGGTGATCAGCACGTGAACAGGGCATGTGCCACACATGATCAAGGCATGGGCGGCACATGATCAGAGAATGGACGGCATGTGAACAGGGCATGTGCAGCATGTGATCAGCACATGAACAGAGCGTGAGCCCCACGTGATCAGTGGGTGATCAGCATGTGATCAGGGCATGGACGGCACGTGATCATGTTACAGGGTGCAGCCAAGAGGGGGGACCCCAAATAGGCATTTGAAATGGGGTCCAGAACTCAAGGTGTCCAGGAGATTTTAAGATGTCTTCACCCCCACCCCCCAGGTGTGGGTTGGGGGAAGGGACAAATGGAGCAGGGCCATTGAGAGCTGTTTTGGATAGCAACAGCCTTGTAGCTAACCTCTGGTGTGGTCATTTAACATATCTATAGCCTTTGGCTGGTCGCTTAGATATGTTAAATAGCTGTGGCCATGCTCTGAGCCAGGGGAATGGAAGTAACTACCCCACCAAGGCGTAACTGGGGGGCAGGTCCCCCGAGTTACAGCACCTGCATGGGAGCTTGGAGAAGATTGGCTCCATGACATGGGGCCACACCTGCCCAGACTCATGATGGCAGCCCAATAAAGCTGGAGGAGACAGCAGATTGAGGGCAAGTGTGCCCGAGTGTGGGAGGAGTCAGAAATGGGGCTGCAGAGAAAGACTGGCACGGGGATTTAAACCGAGGGGCGGCAGCCATTGAGAGGGAGAACCATGCAGCTGTGGAAGTGCAGAGAGGATCACAGCCATTGAGCAGAGAGAGAACCACGCGGCCTTGACAGAGTGGAGACTCCCGCAGCCCTGAGAGAGAGAATCACCATGCGGCTTTAGCAGAGTGGTGACCGCCTCCCCCCACCCCTTGCAGCCATTGCTCAGGGGGAGAAGCACGCGGTTTTGGCTGAATGGGGACTCCCGTGGCCCTGGGAGAGAGGACCATGTGCCTTTGCCAGAGTGGGGACCCCCGCAGCTTTAGAAGGGGGAACCACCACCTGGTTTTAGCAGAGACCCGGCGACTCAGCGGAGGGTGCCGGGAACCCAGGGAGGTCTCCCAGTCGAGATGGAGGACTAACTGGGAAGAACCAGAGGACTGCCTGAGCCGTGGACTTCTATTTCCTTTCCTGAGATACAGTACTCTGGACTGGGCAAAGGGGGAAGGAAGGAAGGACTGTGTCTGTTTGTGGGTGTTTTAAGGGACTTTAGGATTTTTTGATAAAGACATTAGGTCACTACTTTAAGTTTGTATAGCATTAAATAAACATTTCCTTTCCTTTTCATGAATCTCTGGCATTGAGAGACGTCTTTCCTCTGGTGGTGGACATAACGGACCTGGGGGCTTCTTTCAGTAATAATATATTGTCCCAGGCCCCCCCTTGTTTTCTCTGTAACAATCAGAGCATGGGTGGCACGTGAACAGAACATGGGCCGCATGTGATCAGCGGGTGATCAACACGTGATCAGGGCAAGTGCCGCACATGATCAGAGCGTGTGTGACACGTGATCAGCACATGAACAGAGCATGGGCCGTACGTGATCAGCAGGTGATCAGCACATGAACAGGGCATGGGTGGCATGTGATCAACATGTCAATGGCATGTGAACATGAAATCAGAAAAGACACCAGCGTTCAGGCTGCCTGTCACTACCAAACCCAATAAGCA